ATATGCGTTTGAAGACAGGGAAGGGAATTATGTGAAGTTCTGGAACGATGTATGGTTGGGTGAATACCTTTGAAAATACAGTTTCCTAAACTCTATGTTCTTTCGAGCAACAAATCGGTAAGGATGGAGTTTAGGGTGAATAATGGCACTGGTTGGTGTGGACATTCAAATGAGGCGAAATTTGGCGGATTGGGAGGTTGAACAGCTGTTGCAATTGATTTCTATGTTGAACAATATCTCAATATCGCCATGTGAGGAAGACTGTTGATTTGGTCAGGAATGGTGAGGGCTGTTTTTCAGCTAAATCTTGTATCAACATTTTCCTTGATCAAGATGGTATTCAGTAGAAGATGGAGACTTGGAGAGACATATTTGGGCAGGGATTGCTCCTCCACGGGTGGAGACATTTGTATGGCAAGTTGCTCACCAGAGAGTGGCGGTGAAGGAGGAATTACTGAAGCGAGGTGTGGTAGGGATTGATGATCCTTTATGCTCTCTGTGTGGTGGGAAATGGAATCAGTTTCGCATCTATTTTTGCATTGCGAGGTAGTATGGGGTCTGTGGGCCAGATTATTGAATATTTGGAATTTGTCCTTTGTGATTCCAAAGAATATCATGGTGAGGGAGGATTACTGAAGCGAGGTGTGGTAGGGATTGATGATCCTTTATGCTCTCTGTGTGGTAGGGAAATGGAATCAGTTTCGCATCTATTTTTGCATTACGAGGTAGTATGGGGTCTGAGGGCCAGATTATTGAACATTGAAATTGTCCTTTGGATTCCAAAGAATATCATGGACTTTTTAAATTTGTGGATGATTTACTTCCGAATTCTTTGATATGGAAATTTATTCCAAGGGAGTTGATGTGGTCAGTGTGGAAATGCAGAAACGAGGTTATTTTTCAGAAAGTTAAGCTGGATGTGGTGAGACTGTTCTTTATTGTCCGTTTTAGAATAGCTTCCTGGTTTGCAAAGTTCAAGGACGTGAATATACCTTTAGACTCTCTTGTGGGAGATTTAAACTTGCGGATTTGGTGGGTAGACAAGGAAATGGCAACTCTAAACCAATTTGCTGGGTTCCTCCTCCGGATGGGTTGTTTAAAGCTAAATGTTGTGGAGCGATGGTAAAGGATTGGGATAAGGGAGGTATTGGTGGTTTGATTCGGGACAGTAAAGGTGTTGCTTCAATGGTTTTCAGAAAGAGTTGGGGGTGGTCCTCTATCTTGGCAGAATTATTGGCGATTAAGAGGGGTTATGTCTTCTGGAAGATTTAAGTTTTGTTCTTAATCGGAGGTTTATTCTTGAATCAAATTCAAGCAATGCCCTAAAGTGGATCAAGAATCCGGGTTTATGCACTCCTATGTTTCAAGTATTGGTGAAGGAGATAGTCTCTCTTATGGCAGGGAAGGATATCATTATCAAGCATATTTTGTGGGCTGCAAATTGGGAAGCTGACAATTAGCTAAGGATGGGATAGGGTGATGTAATGGTTTCTGTCTGCTTGTATTGAGGATAAATTTTATTTCCTAGTTAGCTGTTGTGTTAAGTTTATGTAATTTCTGGTGGGTTTGCAGATGTTTAGGGTCTGCCTTTGTTGTACTTTGTTTCATCTAATAAATTCTAGGCACTCTTTTCCTCCTTTCATTGTCCTTCATGTTACTTTTATAACATGGAGGTTGAAAAGGGGGGTTTTTAATGAGGCCTAATCTTCTATAAAAAAAAAAGCCATTTATAATGACTGCTTCAATGCAAAGGTGGTTGGATGGGGTTATGCCAGGAATGCATGCATTATCACTTTCCCGTCTGAAGAAGAAAAGAGTGATTTGGAAGAGAAAGCATGAGAGTTAAATTTCTGGTTTGATTGACTGGCCCCGGTTTCTCTAGATGGGGGAGTGACGTTAGCCTTCTGTTCTGTGTCCTTGATCGGAGTTCCCCTGAATTGCTGGAGTGAAGTCTTTTTCTCAGGTTTGGCTTCTAAGTGGGTGTTGTTGGTGAAGATTCAAGAGGAGACTCTCCAAAGGGTGGATTGTCGTGTAGCCCAACTGCTTGTTAGGGCGGCAAGTCTGTTCGATATTCCTTGGTCGGTTACGGTCGATAAAAATAGGAGGTCTTATTTGATTAAGATTAAAGTTGAAACAATGGAGGATGGCTTCCCTAAACTTCAGAGAAAGGATATAGAGGAGTAATCAAATGACGTGTGGGAGGAAGACTCATCAGAAAGTGGTTAGATTGACGGTCTTCGTGGTCAAAAGGGTCGAGAAGACTAGCAGTCAGGATCGACGACTCAGGAAAGGGTGGAATTGTGGCTTTAGGAGAATCCAATAAGTGGCCACCAAGGGAATGTCTCAGGAATTAATGATACAGGAGAACCAAGGTAGGTTTATCTCATGGGTGAATTGAGGGAAGTGCAGAATGATTGTGCAACCCTATTGGGCCTATTAATAAAGCTATGTTGGATATGGAGCCTCGTCGGGCCGATTCGAATCATCAAGTGGGTGGGTGCCTCCTGATTGGGCTTAAAGGGAGATCTAGATCCATGGTTCCCTCTAGGAGAATTGAGAGTAGGCTTAGGGAGCCTGGGTATTCTCAAGATAGAATTGCAAGTCGGGTAGTGGGCTAGAGTCGATCACAGACTCGGTCTCTTATAATCAATCGCCCTCCTCAAATCAGAGTCGCCCTTCAGGAAAAAGTGCTTCAATAGGAAGAATTGAGTGTGGGTTTTTTGATAAAGTATATAGTAGATCTAGAGGGAGTAGAGCTTCATGTGGTCAGAATCTTAATGGTTCCCGTCTTTCCCATTAATGTCCGGAGGAGATGGAGGAGGCGAACGCTGCTTGAAGTTTAGCAACTTGTTAGGTGTCACCTTTCGGGGAGAAAGAAGAGCCTTTGTTAATAGAGTGAGTTCAATGGTGAATGAGTGGAATAAGGGGGTGGGAGATGATTTCCCAGGGTTTGCCAAGTATTTACGCCATTTTTATGATAAATCTAGCTATCCTATCATGGAATGTAAGGGGTCTTTGAAGCCAAGAAAAATCTAGGGTTGTGAGAAGTCTGATTGTTGGTATGAATCCCTCGTTTCTGTTTATCCAAGAATCGAAAGTGGATTCGGTGCAACCTATTCTAATCAGGAGGTTAGGGGGAATTTGTTGCGAGGTTGTGCCTGGTCTCCTATTGAAGGCTCAACGAGAGGCCTAATTACCCTTTGGGACGAAAACAATTTTTATCTTCATTCTAAACACATCCAAAGAAGATTCATAACCATCAAAGGAAAATTCAAGGGTTCTTCTGTTAAGTCATGTATCAGGTTAATGAATGATTTGGCTGAAGTTGATCCTTATTGGTCCAAGCATGTGTGGCTTGGGGTTGCCCTCATGTGTGGGATCCTTTGTTGGCAAGTTTCTTCATCAGAAGGTGCTGTCAAAGTCGAGCTGTTGAAGTGTGTCTCCGGATTGAGGATTTTCTCTGCATATGTTTGTGTCGTGTGGAGTTGCATGGGGTTTATTGACTAAATTGTTGCGGATTTGGAATGTCCTTTGTCGTGCCCGATAAACATGCTGCGATCATCTCCGTTTGGCTAGATTTAGCCCCTCGCTTGATCATCTGGACCTTTATTCCAAGGGCGATTCTATGGTCGATTAGGAAATGTAGGAATGGGATTATCTTTGAGAAAGGAAAGTTAGACTCAACGCATCTTTTTTTCCTAACGAGATATAGACTGTCAGCATGGTTCTCTGCTAAATTTCCAAACGTCTCAATTCCCTTTGACTGTCTCGTGGGGAACCCTTCCTTGGCAGATTCTTGGTCGAGCTGCAAGAAGGTTCCCTCCTTACCATCGGTGTGGGATCCTCCACCCCCAGGTTTTTACACAGTGAATGTGGATGGTGCAATGGATATGCAATGGTTTAAAGGGGGCATTGGTGGTCTACTCCGGGATGTTGATGGTAATGTGCTAGGGACTTTATCTGAAATTGTAGGATCATATCCTCCTATTATGGATGAGTTACTGGAAATTAAAGCGGGCTTATGGTTCTTCGAGGAGTCTGGTTGGGGTTATAGGGGGCACCTTATTCTGGAAAGTAACTATGCCAATGTCTTGAATTGGATTAAAAATCCCGGTTCCTGTTCTGCTCTTTTTGAGTCGCTGGTGAAGGAGATTGTCACTATAGTCCTAGATAGGAATGTTATTGTAAGGCATAATCAGAGATATGCGAATTGGGAGGCATATGAGTTAGCAAAATTAGAAATTGGCTAATGTCTTTTTGTTTTTCTGGTTTATTCTTAGGAGGTTGTTTCTTTGGGTTGGTTGCATTTGTTCTTGCCTGGTTCATTGTAATTTGGGGACTATACTTTTTTGGCAATAAATTTTTGAGGTAATCTTTTCCTCCTCCTAATGGATGATGAGATACTTTGTAGTCTTTCGTCGGTTATGAAGGGATTTTTAATGAGACCTCCCTTTCTTATAAAAAAAAAAGTTAACATAGAAAACTTGGTAGTTAGAATAATTGGTGAGTATATTCTTGAAACAAATTAAAAGGCTCTTATCCTGTCTTTATTCTTGCTATAGTATTTTTGTATTTATGTAACAACATAAAAAATCAAATAACTAGAACAAGGAATATAAGTTTTGCTTAACAATAGGGCATATGTTATGTAGACAACTAAGGAGTTAGCATAATTGGTTTCTTCTTGAAACGACATGAAAGAAACTTAAAAGGATCTAGGTTTAAACGATTCTCATCTATGTAATCGTTGAAGCTTCAAGATTGTTGTGTATTCTATGTACATGTCCGTGTAAGCACAGATGCATGGACTATTGATGTGGCTATGTAGAGATGTGTGTTTATATGCGGGCAACAACTCTTTACTTGATTTCTGTTTCTTGCATCAAAATTTTGCTTTAATGAAGCATTATATGTTTTGGCAACTTATAAGACTGTTAGGATTATCATTGGTGTCATTATTTTGTAGAGCAGATAGCCTCATTGATTTAATTATATCACAGCATAGAATTAGAGAGTTGACTGGTGTTCACGGAACTCATGCTGGTGGCGGATCTCATGAAAAAGATAGGCCAAGTTCTGGCATTTTGATGAATCAAAATCCTCATGGATCCACGGTACTATTTGCATGTAATCTGCCAGATTACCATCTTTTCCTATTGCTGATTCTATTATATCAACTTTGATTCTCCATTGTGTCCATTATGTATTAAATAGTACTTTTATTTCTCTTTACACTCTCAGGCTGGTCACGGCTTCTCTCCAACTAATCAGTACCCTGATGAGCAACATCATATGCCACCAGAGAATATGATGAGATACATGCATGATAATGATTACACTGCAAAAAATTTAATGTTCAATGATCTGGGGCAACAACGATTGAGCAATGGCACTGCACAGGAATTTTTGTTCAATTCTGATAGGTTGGAACCACTAACGCAGTTTCTTGTGGATGTTATGCTTTTCTTGATAACATTATTAATTGACATTTTGTGATGACTCTTGAGATGTGACGAAACATATCCACAGCCTTTTCTTTTGGGTACAATTCCACATTTATTGTCCTTGCTGCGTGGTTTCTAAATTGTAAAAGATATTAGCAATAATTTCCCCTAATATTTGAATTGATTAAATGATTACGTATGATAATTGTGAGTAGTTTCTCTCCCAAGCTATCATTTCCTGTGATAAAGAATGTAGACATGCTAATTGAGGGATTAAATTAACGAGGACCTTATTCATTCTGTATTGACATTTTTCCATGTTATTTTTTATACATCCGATTTCAGCAAATTGCTCTGGTCATCCTGTGTGTTCTGTAATTAATATGCCCTGATATGAGCGCCGTTGATATTGCAAATATGAATAATGAAATTTGATTGCAAAAGCTATTATATCCAACATATCGATTTTCCTTGTTCAAAGGCACTATAACTTAAGTTTTCGTGTATAATACAATGCAACTTGTTCATTAGTGCGAAGACATTGCTTTCATTTGATTATAATTAGAGATCTAGCATTGCTTTACTTCATACTTACCTGTTAATTATATTCTTACAGAGGTGGTCCTGGGACTAATCCTGATAGTGCATTTGATAGAGGTTTTGTAAGAATTGGGTCTGAGGATACGACCAATGATGTCTTGTATCAGCCTGATGAGATGGCCTCCCAAGGTTCTGAAGGTGATTTACATTTATGTGGAAATTACGATCTTTTTATAGCATCTAATACAACTTATTTGAATTCAGACGGGCCTGGAATTGAGGGGTTTCAGATAATTGGGGATGCAACACGGGAGAAAAGCTTCTAGGATGCGGCTTTCCTGTACGAGGAACGACCCTTTGTATGTTTCAGGTGAAATTTCTTGGACACATGAAAAATTGACATTTTTTAAAAATTCCTTTTAATACATAAGGATTAATCTTTCATATGCTGACAATGTTGTTTGCACTGCAGTGGGTACGTCATCTTCAGGATGGCACCAGGCAGTACATTGAGGGTAAGCATGAAAAATATGACCTTTTCTCTGTGTTCTTCGTATACGTATTTTGTTACCTTAATTTTTTTTTTTGGTAAAAAAATTATCCAGGAGCTACAAATCCAGAATATGTTGTCACAGCTGATGATGTTGATAAACTCATTGCTGTTGAGTGCATACCAATGGATGACCAAGGCCGTCAGGTACATGCAGCAATAATTTTCTTTTTTTTATCATTAACAGAAAAAGTGCATGCATTTTTGTTTTCAATTGTATGTAGAACTCAATCAGACAATTGTATGGAATAGAATTTGTTTTATTTTCAGGACACCAATATCTGAAATTGAACATGTTTTTTGTACAGTTTCTATGACAGCTTTTAGCACAGTAGTCTTGCATTGCATTTACACTTGATGAGGACTTAAGCAGTATGCTACATATCATTTTGAACTTCTCCCGTTTGATGATAGAGAACAAGTGCTTGTTTTGATGACATCTTTGCCTCCCTTAAAAAAAAAAGTCCCTTTTTCCTAGTGTCAAATATTACACACATAATGCATAAATTTCTCATGCAACTCGCTTCACTTAACCTTTTCAGAATGTAAAGTTGAGAGTAGTCTTTCTGATTCTAATTCTGCAAAATTGTTTACTTTTTCCAGGGGGAAATAGTGAGGCTTTTTGCTAATGATCAGAACAAAATAAAATGTGGTAAGTCTGTGTGAGCCTGAGTTGTTAGACCTCATGGTCATTGAAATTTCTGTATCTAGAAGTATTACCTAATGTTTCTCATTTATTTTCACTTTCTATTTTATGTGGCAAAGTTATCTGTTTGCTTTGTTTGTCAAAACTCAAGTCACTTGTTAAAAGGATAATGGATAATAAGTTTGTTGCCATGTGCTTGATTAAATGATAATGGATAGTAAGTTTGTTGCCATGTGCTTGATTTTCTGCATTACGTCTTTTTTACTTTGAAAATATGATTTATTTTGAAATTTATCTGTCCCCAAACCTTTTGCAGAGCTCTCTCTCTCTTCTTCTTCTTCTACTTCTCTCTGCATATATATACATATCTGTACAACATTAAATGATCATGATTTCACTATTATGTATCCGGAAATATGCTTCTCAAGTCTTATAATGATATTATATCTTGAATTTCTGCATAGTTTTGTTAGATCATTTTCTTTTTGTTACTTAATAATTAACAGAATGTTATTCAACTTCTACAAAATATTATTTGGCATCATTTCCTAAATTAGTAGTAAAAGGTTATGTTTATGATTCTTACATGCACGCCAAAAAGAATGTGGTGTTTGAATAGTTGTGAATATTGTGTACACGTGTATATATTGATGCATTACATTTTCTTTTGTTTTGTTTGGCATATTTGCATTATAGAATAAATTTCTGATTAGCTGCTTTGCAGACCTAGAAATGCAAAATGAGATCGACACTTACATTTCCAGTGGCCAAGCAACATTTACTGTTCTGTTGTTGGTAGGTTTAATCACTGCTCTTCCAAAGTTACCTGGAATTTTCTTCCGTTCAAGATTTCTTTTTTACTTGTGTATTTGTTTTTAGTTACTATGTCTAAATAATCGATTTTCCAAAAGAAGTGGCGATTTGTGAATTCAAATAAAAGGTTGGCAACTGTATTAGCTGGAGATTTCATTTATTTATCCATCAATTCTTATAGTTTATCAGTTCTTCTGTTTCTGTCAATCTAATAAGAGGAGAATAGTGTTGTCATACTGTAGAAATAAGATTCATGAAATATATATATATATATATTTTATTTCTTATCATTAATTGAGAAGTTACAGCAGGGCTGTTTTTATACAAGTTTAGTTGAGTGTCCTAGATAGGATAGAATTCCTACAAAATAGTTTTCTAGAGTTACTAATAAAATAAATACTAATAATTAATCCTAATCGTAATATAACTCACACTCCCTCTCCAGCTGGGGAGTAAATATTATAGAGACCCAGCTTGGATGTAATCTCGTCGAAGTTGATCCTTGGAAGCGCCTTAGTCAAGACATCGGCTAGTTGATCTTTTGAAGAGACATAATTTAGTTTTACTGCCCTGCCATCCACCTTTTAGACGATGAAGTGTATGTTGATCTCCACATGTTTGGTTCTGTCGTGATGAACTGGGTTCTTAGCAGTACTTATAGTTGACTTACTGTCACTCTGAAGCTCAAAGTAGGTTCTATTGCACACCTCTAGTTCAGTTAGGAGTCTTTGTAACCAAACACCTTCACAGATTCCAAGTGTTATCGTCTAATATTCTCCTTCAGCACTACATTTGGAAACCACGGCTTGTTTCTTGCTTCTCCATGTCACCAAGTTCCGCAAACAAACAAACAATAACCCGTAGTTGATCTCCTATCTGTTAATTCTCCAACCAAACTTGAATCGGAGAAAACCTTGATTGTTCTATCTTCATGTTTTCTAAAATTAATCAATGTCCTGGTGTCATCTTTAAATACCTCAAAATTCGATATGCCATCTCCAAATGTTCTTCTCTAGGATCATTCATGAATTGACTCACAATGCTAATAGAGAAGGCTATGACTGGCCTAGTAAGTGACAGATATATGAGTTTACCAACTAACCTTTGATATTGGTCCTTCTTTACTGGATTCCTATTTTTCATAAGCTTCAGATTTGCTTCCATGGGGGTTTCCGAAGGCTTGCAAGTAGTCATTCCGGTTCCAATAAGTCTAGAATGTACTTCCGTTGGTTTATGACAATTCCTTCTTTTGATCTTATCACTTCCATGGCCAAAAAATATCTCAAGGTCCCTAAGTCCTTGGTTTTGAATTCTCTTGCTATTAACACCTTCAATTTCTCGATTTCTCCTAAGTCATCACTTGTGATGATATGTCATCGACGCAGACAATTAAGATCACATTTTTCTTGTTTGGAGCAATTTTGACAAACAAAGTATGATCAGATTGGCATTGCTTATAGTTGTCTTGCAAAAGTACTTTCATGAGTCTGTCGAACTAGGGACGAGGAGATTGTTTTAAACCATATAGAGACTTCAACAATTTGCATACTTGTTGATTTCCAAATTGTACCTGTACCCCTGGTAGAATCTGCTATAAACTCTTCAAGATTACCATTGAGGAATGCGTTTTAACATCCAGTTGATGAAGTATCCAATCTTTATTTACTGTTATGGACAATAGTACTCTTACAGTATTGAGCTTCGAAACTAGGGTAAAAGTCTCTTGATAGTCTACTCCATGAGTCTGAGTAAACCCTTTTGCCACGAGTCTAGCCTTATACCACTCAACACTGTCATCTGCCTTGTATTTCACGGTAAAGACCCATTTGCAGCTAACTAGTTTCCTGTCTTTAGGAAGATCAACAATTACTAAAGGTTTTGTTGCTTTCAAGAGCATATACTGCTTTATTCCATTCGGGATTTTTTAAAGCTTCTTCTATGGTCTCTAGAATGCGGATGCTGTCAATCTTAGCTGTAAATGTCTTAAAACTAGATGTTAGTTTACCATAAGCAACAAAACTTTATGAATAGGATGAGTTGTGCATCTTCATACTCCCTTTCTTTGAGCAATTGGTAACTCACTAGTATTAACCAGAACTTCTAAATTACTCTGATTGCCTTTTTCATTTTTCAAACTTGGTTTTGGCTCTTGGCACTACGTAGGTCGTGTGGGAACAAGGATGTGTTTGGTTCACCGTTTGTAGGTAAGAAGATCAGTTTGAGAAATAAGTGGTGACACAAATGGATTTGGTGTTTTAGGAGAATCCAATGGGTTAATGGTTTGGTGTATGTTTTCAGTGTCAGGTGTGGTAGTGGTGTTAGGTGGATTTGGTGTTTTAGGAGAGTCCAATGGGTTAATGATTTGGTGTATGTTTTCAATGTCAGGTGTGGTAGTGGTGTTAGGTTGATTTGGTGTTTTTGAAGAGTCCAATGGGTTAATGGTTTGGTGTATGATTTTAATGTTAGGTGCGGTAGTGGTGTTAGGTGGTTGTGTTTCGATAGGTTCAATGGGCGAGAGATTGATGGGTAGTTCAGTATTAAACGGAAAAAACTGAAATTCACACTCACTCTCCCCCTGAATTTCAGATTTAGAGAAGAAAGGTTTATGTTCAAGGAAGGTGACATCCATAGATGTAAACAATTTCTTAGTGGAAGGAGAATAACACCGATAACCCTTTTGAAGAGAAGAGTAACCAACAAAGACACATTGGATTACCCAGGAATCAAGTTTAGACTTAGTATGGTTATGATCATGAATAAAATAGTACAACCAAAGACACGAAGAGGAGCACTAGTAGTGAACGGTTTAAAGTGAGGGAAAATTTGGGAAAGAACATCCCGGAAACTTCTAAAACTAAGGATTTTACTGGGCATGCGATTAATGAGATAGGTGGCAGTTAAGAGAGCCTTTCCCCAAAGATATTTAGGAACATGAGTGGAAAAAAGAAGTTCTCGGGTTACCTCAAGAAGATTTTTCGTTCAGCAACCCTATTTTGTTTAGGTGTATCGACACAGGAAGTGAGATGGACAATTCTTTTTTCCCCCTAAAAGAAGACCCCAACCAGTGAGAAAATATTCACTACCATTATCCAACTTAAATATGCCAATAGAACTCTTAAATTGGTTCTCAATCATCTTGTGGAACCGTTTAAAAACATCTCCAACCTCAGATTTATCCCGCATAAGAAAAGTCCATCTCGTATGAGAATGATCGTCTATAAAAGAAACAAACCAATAAACACCATTTAAGCTTTTGACACGAGAGGGTCCCCAAATGTCACTATGTATCATTGAAAAAGACTTGGAAGAACGGTATGGAGAAGGAGGATATATGCTACGAATGTGTGTGGCAAGATGGAAAATATCACAAGAAAAAGATGCAAGACTTTTATGAATAAAGAGTTTGGAAAAAACTTGACAAGATAAGTAAAATTGGGGTGACCTAACCTAAATGCCATAAAACAATCTCACAGACACATCATTAGGTGATGGGGCTATTGAAACAAAGGACACACTAGTAGAGGGTTTGTGGTTTGGAGGAGGGGCGTCAAGAATGTAAAGTCGACCACAATGCTTAGCAGTACCAATCACCATACCCGAGCTCAAATCCTGAAACTTGCAAATATCAGAGTTAAA